TGGAGTGTAGCAGTGTGGAGGATGATTGTGGAGATGTCACTCTACTCCATCCTGCATTCCACGGTTTTCCATCTCCCCAGCTTCTTTGATTGGTGGGAGCTCTTGACTTGCCTTGTCCAAACCCTTCTCATTGTCTTTGGCTGTTGCGGTTATCACAACTGTTTCGGGCTCAAGGTTGCAGTCCTGTGTCGTAGACTCAAGACTGCAAACTAGAGTCTCCAGGAGCTTGTCATCGGTAATCCCTTCCTCTTGATTTTTCTCTGGCGCTGGGATCTCCTGTGCATGATCCATCAGTTTTTCCTTGTCATGGGGTGGTTCCTCCTACGTGTTCTCACAGTCCTCAACCTCCTATTCCTTTGGAATTTCCTTCTTGGCTTCGTCTTGTTCATCCTTAACTTCCACTTGCTTTTCCTTCACTTCCTTATGGTCATCCTACTCCTCTTCCTCTATTTCCTATGCCTCACTTCCTTCACCAAGGTTGACCTTCTCCTTCACTGTTTCCACTTGGGCTTGAGGGACAAGCACCAATGCCCTTTCATTGTTCACCAACAAAGCCTCGATGTATGGAAAAAGTGTTGTTGTAATTTTCTCCTTACTCTCCAGCGCATTGAAAACCTGTAAGAGTTCCCTATGGAACTTTCCCAAGTCGACCTGGACTCCATTGTTCAAGTCCTCATAGTTGAAAGCGATAATTTTCCTCTCAATACCCTGTGGATCGGAGCTTGCTGTAGTCATCACAAGAATCAAGAATGCATAGAGCTGATACTTCCGCAGCCATGCGTCAAGAGTCTCGTCTCGAGACCACTCTGGGTTTCCCACTTAGAAAACCAAGCATACCTTGTTCTCATCATCCGAGAGGTCAATTGCTTCCTCCTCTTCCCATGGACAGTGTGGAGCCCTCAAAGTGAATCTAGTCCAGCTGCGCTTTCACCATACCAAGAATTGCCACAGCCTTGACCACTGTTTGCCCCTGGTGGGCTCCCTCTTTCCTCATGCACTGTCGCCCGTAACTCTTTTCTTCTCTCAACTGCCAAGATTAGGGTTAGGTCACATTCTTGTTGAGGTGAATTTTCTCTAAGTGTTTGCATACATTTGAATGTGTTTTCTTCGATTTCTCTGAGCGTTTTCTCTTGAAATTTCTAGTATTCCACCATAGTGTGAAACACTTGTGGTTGCTTGTAAATCTTCAATTTGTTCAAGTTAACTACTTGCAATTTTTCATCATCTAAAGTTGCAAGTTTTGCTATTCTTGGGATTTGTATGCTTGTAATCTTGAATGGTCCTTCCCATTGATGAACGAGTTTTCCTCCAAATTTATCCACATTGCCACGATACCATAATACAAGATCTCCTACTTTGTAATGTGCTTTGTTTTTCTTGACTTGTTTGCGATCATGATAAACTTTTCTTCTAGCCTATATTGCTTTGATTGTCCATATTGCACTCAATCTTTCTTCATCAAGTTTCTCAAGCATTGTGAGTCTTTTCTTGAGAAGCTTGCATGCATGCAATTAACAATTATGGTTTCTTGCTTTCACCGAAGCCCCAGAGCATTTCCCAACAACACCCTGTCCCACAGGACAAGCACCAGTTGCTGCTTCACTATGGGTCTTAGCTCGAAATTACACCACTACACATATAGGGTCTAAACTGGAAATCCACATAAGTGATCGATGACAGTGTTCAAATTAGAGAACTAGCGGCATATCAGGTTGAATCTGACAAAGCCATGCTGCCGCAGCTTGGGTTGAGACATGGTTCTTTTATAAGTTTTCGAACTGAAAGCTGCCAGCCTCTATGTGAATCTCTTTAGCCAAGCTCCGATGTTGACAAAACTCTCGAAATCTGATTGCGGCCTGCAGGTAATATATGTTATAGAAACTTTAAAAGAATATCGATATCATACCGATCGATAGCATGAATGTCATCTGGGAAGACAATAACCTTAACTTCCAGTCCTCGAGCTCTTAGTGCTTGTGCATACTGAAGCGTTTAAGTATGAGCACGTTATTTCATAGAACATATTGTAGTGTACCTGGAGACCGTTTGACACTGGCACTCTCCGATCCTGTGCACCAAGTAGAAACATTGTTGGTACTTGAACCTGTTATGCAATGGTTACTGTAAGGAAAAATCGATACCAAAAAGTCACCTTGTCAACGTGTGCTATTGGAGACGCTTGATAAAAAGCTCCCAAGTGCTTCACCGAAGGTGCTTCATCGTACAAGTTCAAACCAGCTTTTCCATAAGATTCCATATAACACCAATCGGGTATGTCGGTTATTCCCACCATCGAGGAAATGTTGCACACGGGATTCCGTACTATTCCAGTAACGAATCGACCTGGCGCCTAAACAAGAAAAGCTCAAATCAAATGAAATTGAATGAGATGAAAACCTTACCTGTCCAATTAAATGGGACGTCAAAAACCCACCATGCGAACCACCCACAACGGCGACTTTGTCTGGCTTGGCAAGCCCTTCCGCAAGAACCACATCCAGTGCCGTGAGTACGTCGTTGACATCCTGATAAGAAAAAAGTTGGCAAGTGTCAGATATAGCAAGAGAGTCATACCCGCCGACCAACGTTGCCTAACAAGCACTGAAGTGCTTCCTCACCAAAGCCCAAAGATCCCCTGCCATAGCGCTCAGATTTATAGCAAACAAAACTTCAAAGCCTACCTGTAGTTTACATGAAGTAAACTGAATCCCAGTCCTACGAGAAACGCATAATTTCTTGAGAAACCGGTCACTGATACAGAATGAGGTCCTCCGTGAAGAACTAAAACAAGTGGTGGGGGTTCTGAGCCTTCTTTAACTTCTCCTGGACTAACAAAAATAGCTTCGAACGGATCCTTAGCCCCTTCATGTCACAGTGGCGTGTAAGAGTCTTCTAGACAAAACGGTAATGCGAACCTTGTGGAAGAATTTCGTTTCCGTCTGAACTGGGAACAGGGATCTGTAAAATCCTCGACGAGATTGACGATAAGATAGATTGTACCTGTACATCTAGAAGCTAGTTATGCATTTTATAAATAGTAACTACTCCACCTCTTCCGTGTGTTCTACGGGTGTAGGAATATCGGACCACTGAAAAGCAGCGTCCGAAATCTTTTCCATACTAGAGCAGTACGCAATTTTTAAATCCGGAGGAGACCCTGGATTGCTCGCAACTGCTCACACTACTAAGCTTGGTGAATACAGCATTCATCAGAGTGAGTCTCACGTACCGGCCAGAAGAATATTTTTAAAAACAGACAGAAGGCTCCAGGAGCTGATTGAATCCTCAGGCGTTAACCTTAAAACCTCCCCGCTACAGATGGCGAAAGCTGATGAGCTAATATATCGATTGAAACCAGCATACCTTTCGAGGTTCACAGAGACTATAACTTGTGTACTTCGCCACGCTGACGTTAAAAGCAGAGTACGGTTGTCATATAGCCATGGATGCGAAAGAAAAGTCGAGCAGTATAGGCCAGGGAAGCCTTTGGCGTCGGGTCGAGAAATAACAGGTACCTATTAAAGAAGAAAGTTCATCAATCAATCGAAAAGACCAATGTGACTTACAACATCTCTTGCCGGTGGAAGAGTGCCAAGACTATCCCCTCCTGACCATTTTACGCAATGCAGAGAGTTTGTAGCACAGTGGGCGCCACTATCTACAGCAGCCTTTGCAGACAAGAAAACAAGAAATTCTCCATCTGGACTGTACATACAAAGGAAATAACACAAGCTGCAAATATCAATGAGCTACGAACCTGAAACGTGGTGAAAATGCACTACTGATTGTTGCCGTCAGCTTCAGTGGTGCTCCTGGGGTTCGATCCAAAGAATGACTGTGACTCACAAACCTTTAGCGGTTTAGAGTACAAATGAGCTTTCTGACCTGCCAAACATAGGAGCTGCAGTAGCATAGAGCGCGCATGGCCTGTTGTAGCAATACTTCATACCCAGCTTTCTAGGAGTTTTGAAATTGTCGGCGAAAGATGACCATGCTACAAACACCAAGTACTGAGTTCCTTCACTGCTTGAAGGAGCCCACACAACCTGTCCAGCACTCAAATCTTGCGGAATCCCCTCGACAGCCTGCACAGAGCCACTGAACACTCAACAGTCAAATCGCAAGCACTTGAACGTAATCTACCTGTTGGTGTCAGCGACGTATATCAAAGGCCGACGTTTCCCAGCGTAACACTCCCCCCAGTCCTCCATCCAGTCACCTTGGCCTTTCCAAGTCCCGGCCTCGCCTTCCTGCTTTTGTCCATCCTTGCCCATAGCCTGACCAAATACTGGACGATCAACAGGTGGTTCCTCGGCAACATAAGCTATAAATCTCTCGTCGTGACTCCATGAAACACCTTCAAACCTGTCAAGCAATAGGAAATCTAAGATTGCAAGGAAAAGATGAAAGGAACTTACCATCCATCCGTGTAGACGGATCCGTGGAGCTTACTTGGGACGTGGACTTCCTTTAGAAGCTGCATTGGTCCCCATATCTGTAGCTTCACCGAGCAAGGACTATCCTTGCTTGCAGGCTCTGTGTTACATACTACCAAGACCTTGCTACCAGACGGGGATGGTACTACGAGAGAAGCCCCGCTCAGTTGAATCGGGAATGGCGACCAGTGGCAATTCGTAGCCGGATCCAGACCGTGCCCCGCCTCGGGAAGGTAGAGATGCGACATGAAATTCCGCTTCGCATTTCCTGGGAGGTCGATCTGGCTCATCGCCACCACCACATCCAAGCCATTCCCTGCGCATCGATGCCAGTTTCCATGACAATCCAATCCTTGGCATTGAAGATTTCGAGAAGAATTTACCTCGCGGCGATGGACTCGCCCAGGCCTTGTCGATGCTTGGAATGCCGAAGAATGACTGGAGGAGCTCCGACTGCTTCGCGAGCTGGCGATCTTGCGGGGCCTGCGGTGCCGCGGAATTGGATCCCAGAATCGCAGGCGCGAGCTCCATGGAGATAAACCCTAGACAAGAATGAACCCTAGGAAATTTTAGCGCGCTTTCTTTATAAACTTGTTTGCTACACCAAAATCGAGAGAGTCTTATCGGCTGCTTGCGGAATTCCTTGGCAATTGCAATTCCATGATATCGTCTCGCGGAAGCGCGTGGCAAGTGTGGTTCTGTTGCTGCTCCGCCTGGGCTTGCTCGACGCTCTTAAACCCTAATTCCAGCGCGGTGGTAGTGTCCACGGGCTCCTTGTCGTCCTCGCCGCAGTACGTATTCTCCCTGTCGATCCGGAGCGTGAGGTACGCCACCAGGGCCATGTACAATACGATTGTCGCGTAAACGCAAATGCCGAGCACCACCTTTCCTCCCATAACCATGGAGCCGTGAATGAGCCACTTGGTGAACGAGGAGCTCAGGTACCACACGTTGATGGCCATCACTCCGCCACCAATTCCCCACGTGATTACAGTAATCTGTAAAATTAGAGGAGATTAGACAAGATTTTCCGTGGGGATTTTGTAACTTACTATCCAAGAATTTGCATATGGGCCCATTTTCACTTTACTTCCCGTGAACTTGAGCATTGGGATGAGGACAAACGGCAGGACAAACGATAGAATCATCTGCATAATAGAGTTGGCATCCAAATGTTAAACAATGTTTGAAAGCTTTGAAAACGAGGTTCCTTACCGAGCACACAATGATCAGGTTTCCAGCCGCTCTTGATCCTCCAATCAGTGCAACAATCAAACTCGGGACGATCGCCACTGCTCGAGTCATGAGGTTGCGGATCCATGGCTTGAACCGGAGGTGCAAGAAACCCTAAATTGGAAGAAACGTAAGAAATCCTGGCAAGAACAAGTCGCACCTGCATGACGTATTGTCCAGCGTAGGTTCCGGTGATCGTGGAGCTCTGACCGGAAGCAAGCAGAGCGATTCCAAAAAGAATCTTGGAGAATCTCCCAAGCACATTCTGGATTGAAAAGATCAACGAGTATTATAGCGAGGTTTTGTGGATGGAGATGGACGAATTCAATCACCTGGAGCAAGAAGGATGCCTCGTTGAGATCCAAATTGTCACACTTGTCCTTGTTCTCCTGGGAGATGCCCGGGTTGGAGCAAATGGCGCCGCTCACGGAGATGACACAGACGTTGATAAGGAAGGCAAAAAAGAGCGCGAACCCGCTCTCAAACAAGCAGAACCGGCACGCCTCCTTCAATCCCCTGGGCGTGCGCGAGATCTTGCGGGTGAGCACGATGGCCGAGTGCAAGTAGAGATTGTGGGGCATGATCATCGCTCCCAGCAGAGAAATCGCCAGCGCGGTGGCGCCGTTGCCTCGCAGCTGCGGCACAAACATTCCCTTGAGCAGCTCCTTGGAATCCGGCTTTGCGTAGCCGAGCTCCGCGAAAAAGCACACCGTCATTGTCATCACCAGGCCCGTGATCACGAATTCCAGCTTCCTCACCTGGAAAGGCATCGTTTTTCTTAGACACGAGCCATGCAAAGGGAAAAGATCCGACTGTAAGAGAAGAATCAATCGTCCTTACCCCGTAAGTCTGGAGGGCCAGCAGCATCAGGGTGCTGAATCCGGTGAGAATCACTCCAATCCAGATGGGGATTTTCACAAGAATGTTGAGCGCGAATGCAGTGCCAATGACTGGATCGGTTTTTCCGAGGAGAGATGGTTAGAATTTTTCGCTGATCGAGAACAATCAATCGATCGAGGGGCTATACCTTCGGGAATGTCGGCAGCGATCACGGAAACCTCCGCGAGCAGCCATAACACATAATTTACGGCCTTGGGGTACTCTGTTCTGCAGTGTTCCGCCAAATGTTTGCCTGTGACAACTCCCAGGTTTGCCGCCAGCGATTGAATGATAAGCGCGGACACGGATGCCACCAGGATGATCCAGAGCAGCTGACCACACAAACAAGAACAAGAAAAACTTCAGCGATCTTCTCAACAATCGTCTGGGTGGTACTTCGTATTTGTACTCTGCCCCCGACTGTAGATCGCTCTCGACTGGAAAAACAAAACGCGCATGAGACATGACACAAAGATTTTTTCGAAGAGCTTACAGTTTCCGGGATCGATGTAGGCGATGCACACCAAGAATCCGGGGCCGAGGAACGCTAGCGCCTTTCGCCATCCTTTCTTCTGCGAAAGCGATCAAGATTAAGATCGAAACTTCGGAAGCCAACTTAAGTACCTCGCCCACTTCGATTTGGTACTTGGTTGGCTCGTCCAGATTTTTATCGCGTGAGTTGATCGCCCCATCCGGCTGAGGGCTGGGTGCACTCACCACTCGCGAAGTTGGGCCTTGCATAGCTTTGAAACACAAGAAGATTCGTATTTTAAGAAATTGGTCGACGGAACACACCTCTGAAATAGCTAAAGGGCAAATGGGGCAGCAAAAGGATGCTCTTGATAGAGAGAAAGGACGTTTGTTTGTACTAAAGAGAACAAAAAACCAAGCAAATGCCGTGCATGGGTAATGGGGATCATTTAAAGTGGGAAGGTTCGAAGCCGGTTGGAAAATTCAATGGCCACAATCAATTAATCATCTGCCAAGCGAGATTTCTCTCCACAAAGTTAAAGGGAATCACAAGATTATACCTTTGACTGTCGAGCCCCAAATTGATGCTTGAATTCAAGCCTTGGACAACCACGAAGATTTATAACGTGGGGGCCGCCGCTCCAAATTGAAACAGTGATCTTCCTTTCTAGTGTTCTTCTGAGGGAGATGCACTCCACCTAGTTGCCTGGGAGAGGTTTTAATCAGGCAAGAGGAAACAAGGCACTAGAAAATAAGATGGGCGCACGCTACACTCAATCCAAGCTTTTTTATTCTCTCCTCTCAGGCTACTTCAGGTAGTGAGCTCAACTGGGGCAACTCCACTTCTTTGTTTCCAAGTCTTTGGACTGGCAACTCTTATTAATTCATGTTTCAACCTCTTTGCCATGATACTGGCGCGATAAAAGAATAAAAATCCACAGGCCCAGAACTGGCGCATTCTGCATTGGGCTTGAGAGGCCACTGCTTTTGCCAGCCTTGAAATCGCGACCGTTGATCTTGAAAGCTTCCACGGTCAAACATGGTCAAGGTTGATGAGACTTCTAGAAGAACAACTATAATTTACCCTACAATCTCTTGTAGTAGATCACCACATTGGCTTCACAAGATATTCACCACCACCTAAAAATGATTCACAAAGCTTTAAGGCAGGAAAAAAAAGAGAGTGAATCAAGCCTTCCACATCAAAAAGCAAGGGGACCCAAGGCCTGATCTTGCTGCGATTATTTGGGACAACTCATGTCCACAACTGGAATCTATCTCTTCGTTACCTTTTTGGATGACTATGCTTTTTAGGGTTCTATCTTACACATGCTCTGTTTTTTAGGGTTCTTGGGGATGGTGGGCTGCGATCGCGGCGGCAGCGGCGGCCGCCTCCGAGATGCTCTCCAACGCCGGGCGCCAGATCCCGGGCCTGCCGACTCGCGGAGGAGCGGCGCCGGGTAGAGCTGCCGGCTGCGAAATCCCGGCGGTGGACGAGGACGATCCATTGGTCGGAGTGGCACGGGCAGCGCCGCCACGATGATCGTGACGATCTTTCGAGGACGATGAGGATGATGATTTCTTCACGTTGCTCTCCGAGAGGAGCTGCTGCAAGTATTTCTTGGAGACGACGAGCTTGGTGACGCCGCCTTCTTGCCTCACCTTGAATGGCTGCTGCGACGAATCCTTGAGCAGCTGCTTGCGATCGTCGTGCTCGTCGCCGGGAGATCTCCGCGTCTTACCATTCTTGTCGCTGGGAGTTTGATTCTTATCCTTCGGCGCGGCAACCAGGGATTTGGATGAGGAGCTCGATTTGGGAGAGAGGAACGCGGATTTGTAGAACTGGAACGAGGAGAGGCGCTTGTACTGGAAAGCTCCGCTGGAATCATCGGCATTGGTGATCGGGAGGAGAAGATAAGAGCGGCCGGGCTCCGATTCCACGGCGGCGCCATCGCTGGAGCTCTTGCCGCCGAGATTGGAGAGGCATTTCAGGAGATCCGCCCGGGGGGGCGAGCAGCCGGAGAAGGAGGAGGAATTGAGGCGCTTGTGGCTGGAATTCTTGCGAACCTTGGAGGAATCCAGCGGCCGGATGAGCCGCTCCACATGACCGTCCGAGTGGACAACGTGGACGACCTCGACTGCTCCACAGATTAGGACGCAGGACATGAGATTCCCCATGGATCCGGGTCCGGCCGCGACGAATCGGTCGATCTTGCGCGATATTTCAGCGCAGCATTGATGGGAGGGGGGAAGATTTCGCTGCGATTCAAGAGCTGGAGCGGATCTGGAACGAGAGAATGCGAGAGAGATCTAGATTCTACACCAGGAAGAAAGAACAAAAGAAAGAAATGCGAGTAAGAGGAGGAGGAGGAGGAGAAATCTCGCCAGCGGCCGCTAGTAAATCAAGCGCTCGTCGCGCGCGCGCGCTCGATGCTACTGCTCCGATCGCTACACAAACTTTCCAGAGACTAGTTAATGGCGCTCGCTTGCGTGTCTTCTTCTTGCTTGTTGCCGTCTGTCCACATTGGTCGCAAAATCCAAAACCACAAAGAAATAAAACCCTCGCGCGATATCTTCTAAACCCCGTCCCGTCTCCACTGAAAAGGCTGACCTGCCATGCCACGTCCCAGACCTGGCCCTCCACGTGCGCGCCACGTCACACTGCCACGCCGGCGCTCGAGTGGGGTCCCGAGGGTTGAAACTTGAAGGTGATCCCTACATTGTTTTCTTCTCTCTCTCTCTCTCTCTCTCTCTTGAGTTTTTCTTTTTTTTTTTCTTGTATGGATCGATCGGTGCTTCCCTGATTGATTGGGATTGCGAGCTGTTGCATCGGAAGAGGACGCCAACTTGTCGCTTGTAGCTTTCGTTGTCTAAAATTTTTCTGTGTGTAAAAGCTCTTTTCTTTTTGCCAACATATCTGATATAGTTCCACTCATTCGACTTTTCTCTGCTTTGTGGCAAGGATTGAGGTTGAGGTTACGTAAGACGCCTGGGAATTGGATCTACAATCTTACTGTTTCTCTACTTTACAACTAGAATACATTTTCCTATGTTATTCTACAAACCCCCTCTTTTGGACTTGGTCTTGTCCAGTCGTTTTCTAGTCTACATGGAGACCGAGTTTCAACAGAGAGCTGGCGAGACAATAAACATAAGGTATTCCATCTTTGAGGAAAAAAAAGAAAAGAAAGAGAGAACGTCCTTATCCTGGAGGCCTTTCGTCAATGGCTCCTCCTTTTTTTTGTTACACTTTTCGCGGCCAGATACGATGAAACCGCGAGGGTTTCCAGGATAAAAAGAGAATAAAAAAACCATATTACTACTTAGAAACTTTCGATTTGTACTGAAGGTTTGGCAGCCTTGGAGACGATTCCAAAATCTCTAGATCGAGTGTTGGTAGTCAAGACCAAAGAGCTCTACACAGTAGGGCCAGTTCTGCCATGCCAGGACAGGCATCCGTTAAGTGAGCACTTGAAGAAAAAGAAAGCGCATGCATCCAAGACACACCAACCAGATTTGAGGAGAAATGCGATCATTTCTCTCAACGAATCGAGGTGCTGGTGGATTCTTTCTGCAAGGCCGGCCTAGTCGCGAACGCAAGGACAATAAAAACAAACCAAAAAGAAAGAAGAGCAACGAGCAAGTCAGCCAGAGCTTTGAATGAAGTTTATAACTAAAACCATAGAAATTCGAAGATTATATAGCGAATTAATCGTAAAAGACTGAAGTTCTTGAACTTGGAAAAAATCAAAGTCTATTTGAAAGTGCATGCAAACTAGGAAGTTTTATAAAATCTCTCTCACAAAGAAGAGAAAGTTTAGACCTGTCGCTTTAAGAGTTTATCGATGGTGCCACCTTCATTGTACTTCTCAACCAGTTCCTTGGAGTAAGACGGAATGTGAGCTTCAGCTCTGAAAGTTAGCCAAGAACACAATCATATCGGCAATGCTGAACAGCAAAACGAACCTGGATTTCCCCATGGCGCGGTGTACATAGAGGTAATTCCTGATAGTGTGGTAGTCAAGAGAGTATCGTCCAAATTCCAGGCCCTTCGGCCCGATCTGTCATGCATCAATTATAAGACAAGACGATAAGAAATAAAGAGCTCCAAACACCAACCAGATTCAGCAGAAACGCAATAATATTACCAACAAATCGAGGTGCCGGGGCACTCTTTTGCAAGCCTGGCAACGAAGGACAGCAACAAATAAAAGGTTCTCTTTCATGAAAAGGAAAGATAACTTGCCTAGTTTCGCATTGTCATCTGCCTTGACCGTCTCCATGACAAATGGACGCCTGTCACCCTGGCCAGACAGGAATTGCGAAATAAACGTGTGGAGGCGATGAAACATTCCATACCGTGCTAACAGTGGGTGTAACTTCAAGGAGATGCTTGACTAGATCCAGCATTTCTCTACCCCTCTCATTTCTGCACGCGTCCAATACTTTGCTCAGAAGAAAACGAGTAAAAATAAGTCCAAATCACTACCTAACGGTGACATATTGTGGGTGTTGAACCATACTGACACCAGGATATTTGGGAACTCCCATATAGCCCACCACGAGATCCTGTAATCACCATTCCACAGATCAAAACGTATGTTGAGAAAACAATTTACAGTTCATACAGCCAATCCGTTGGTGTAATCGAAGCAGCTGCACAAAAACAAAAACAAACGACAAATCTTAGTTCCTTGGCATGATGAAAGTATTTGAAAATAAAGCACCTGTAGCATGATGGAGCTATCACATCGGTTAGATCACTAGCTGGTAAACAAAAGTAAGGAACCTGGAAAACGTTCATGATAGTGAAACCAATCTCGAGAGATGAACAAGAACACCAACCTCTTCCATACGACCATCCAAGTGTTTCAGGTGAACCTAAGAGGCTAGACGTGTCAGTCTAATGAACTAGAAACGAGTTTACAACCTTGTAATCTTGCATGAACTCGTAGTGTAGAACAGTTTGAGGACTGTCACTCGCTGCTCGTAGAAACTTATCGAGCCCTTCTCTGGGGCCATTGTCCACTGCGGTTTCTTGCTTGTTAGCACATAATTGTGTGGGACTAGCAATAAAACTGACCATCTACTGACCGCAATTTGTACCAAGCACGTAGAGCTTTTCAAGACCAAGATACTTCTCCACCGCCCTCAAAGCTGCCCCAAAAAATCAAGTAACGATCTATAGCTTGATTGAAATTACCTTGAACTTGGCACCCGACTCCACAGAACAGAAGCTTCTTGACACCAGCAGCCTACTAGGCGAAGTATCAAAAGCAAATCATAAGTTTTGACAATACAATACCTCCACGAGCGCCAGCGTGTTTAGATTTGGTGACAAGGTCGGTTTCACTCCTCGAGCGGCGAGTATTTCTTCAGGAGTCCTGAGAAACCAGATAGATATACCAAGAATCTAGGTGGACAATATACCTTGCTAGCACGGGCCGGGGTGTGAAACGATCTTCTGGATCACTGAAGAAAGTCCTCTGTCAGAAAGTCCTATAAAGACCAGCAGCCTACCTCTGAACACATATAACAGCTTCCACGCGCTTTGTTTTGAGCATTTCTATTGCTATGGCAGTAACAATGCCTGTCCATTGGGCTCCTGAAAGTATGTGCACGATTGGAAAAACGTAAAACCTGAGCCTTCGTCACTGTACCTTTGACAGGCTCAATCTTTCGTGCATAAAGTAACTCTTCATGAACTCCAAAATATAACTCGTCCAAAGACTTTACATCTCGTGCTCTCCCATGCACTTCGGGCTCCATAGCCTGCGAATATAGATAGAATAAGGAAAACAGGAACACAAAACAAGACTAGAAAAGCTCACCTCGACTTTAGTCATACCATTCCCGAGAAATGCACAGGCTTTCTTCACATGAGCTATGTAATACGAGTCACACAAGCCGCAATGACTACGGCGAAAAGGTTAGTGAATTGAGCTCTTAGAAAGGATTGATAGCTTTACCTGCAAAATTCTTTCGCTGGATACGTGCTTCCCGGCTTGATGGGTTTCGACCTTTTCCTCCAATCTGTTTGAGGCTCCGTTGTTGTCTCGGCTGCAATCAAACCGCTGAGACTCCAGGCAATACAAACAAAACGATTGGAGTACCTCGACACTGGCGCCGCGAACAGTTCCACCTCGAGGAGGAGATCAACGTCAGGTGGGAGCTACCAAGGTTCTGCAGCAGCGCCATAGCTGCAACGAAGAGAGGGTGCACGAAATGAGATTTATTACTGACAACTTAACTACATCTTCTGCTACATACGTTAATGTAGCGAGGAAAAAAAACCAATGGTGTCATTTAGAGCGTCTATAAACGCGTCCACCTCTCGTTTCGTGTTGTAAAAGTACAGGCTTGCTCGAGCACTGGCATTGATTCCCAAATGGCGATGCAGTGGCTGCGTGCAGTGGTGACCAGATCTTACAGCGACTCCGTGCTGCAAAAGAAAAAAAATAAACAAAAAAACAAAGGAGTGAGATATGCTCGTAGCGTCTTCGCAACAATCAAACCTGCTGATCAAGAAAGGTCGATAGATCCGTCGGATGTATTCCCTCGACATTGAACGCGCATAGTGCCGCTCTTTCTGATCCTGACTTGGGACCATAAATACGAACGCCAGAGACACTTGAGAGCTTGCTGTAAAGATATTTTGACAATTCCACCTGAAAAATTGGCCAATTATTGCGGTGAGCAACAAAGATTCACAATCTATTGCACCCTGACAAGTCCGGATTCACAGAGCGAGGCCAATCAAGGAAATGCAATGCAGTTTTCTGCCTCATACTGAAGACTGAAGATTACTGTATTCACCACAAGCTCCAAAGTGGAGTACGTATGGGAAGAAACTAATCATAGGCAGGTAAAGAAATGATATGCATAAGAAGTACCTCGTAAGCATGAATGTTATCCATTCCAAGATTCGAAAGATAGTCAATTGCAGCTCCTAACCCAATCGCCTCTGCAATAGCAGGCGTGCCTGCTTCAAACCTGGTACACAGGGCTGTGCGATCAAAGTCATTGCGTAAAACAGTGACAAACCGTAATGGAGGATCTGCATACGTCGAGTGATTCAAAAACACGTCCGATATCATCTCGCCCCCTCCTGCATAATAAAATCTAGTCAAACATCTGCGTGTACAGCCGTGATACACACAAACCCAAAAATGGTGGCATCGCCATCAACATGTCGTGTTTGCCGTATAAAACTCCTATGCCTGTTGGACCGCACATCTGGAAGACGAGTAAGCTTAGCGATTCATTAGTGAGGGATTCATACCTTATGTGACGAAAAGACTAGAAAATCGGCATCAAGTCCTCGCACGTCCACGGTCATATGAGGAACACTCTGGCACGCGTCAACGAGAACCTTTGCACCATGATCATGCGCATAACGGATGATATCTTGCATTGGATTGATGGAACCTGCGTGCTAGAGGCTTTTTAGTATTAAGAATTACGGGTAGTCTTTGGACGAACTTACCGAGAGTGTTGGAAACGTGATGCAAGGATACCAGCTTTGTCTTCTTTGTAAAGAGGCCTTTCAACTCTTCAACATTCAAAGTTTCATCTTCGGTAAGAGTCACGTATTTCAGAGACGCTCCCGTCTTCTGAGCTGCGATTTGCCATGGCACTATATTGCTGTGATGCTCTGCGACAGAAAGTATGACCTGTGGCACGAGAGAAATTAAGAACTAGCAGCACAACCCTGTTGCATACCTCGTCTCCTTCTCGCAAAGTGGATAATCCCCAAGTAAAAGCAACCAGGTTGATTGCTTCTGTTGCATTGCGCGTGAAAACAATCTCCCGGTATGTCTCGGCATTGATAAAGTTCGCAACCTTTTGTCTTGCAACTTCATACGCCTCGGTAGCTTTCGCACTGTAAAGACAATCAAAAGAAGGCCTTTTTGAGATACAAAGCTATTCTCTTTTATATCTCACCTCAGGGCATGAATTCCACGGTGCACGTTCGAATTATAAACGCTGTAGTAATCCTGGAGCTTGTCAAGCACAGCTACAGGCTTCTGGGACGTCGCAGCATTGTCCAGATAGACCAATTTGCATCCATTGACCGTCTGGAATCGAGAATATAAGCTCGCAGACGATCCAAAATCCCAAATCAAAGCTCGCAAACCTGATCGAGAATCGGAAAATGCGGCCTGGTGACATCACCAAGCGCCGGAGGTGCAGCGGCAGCCGCAGGAGCGCTAGACGCGCAAGCCCTGGGCCGCCCGTGGAGCGCGATAAACCCTAAACCTAGCGAGGCGCAAGCCATCTGGGGAATAACAGAGAATATTTCCAGAGCATATACCGTACACCGGGATCAATCGCACGGCGGGGATTTCAAACGCCAAGATTCAACGGGTACGCAAGTGTGGGTTTCAAAACATGGCCGTACGATCTGGTAAGGTTGGTTTAGTGGGCGGATGAGATTGAAACGGGTTCCTAGGGCACGATTAGCGAATCTACGGCTGTCGCGACCCGTCAACATCGCTCCAGCTCTATAGCCCGTGAAGTCCGGCCCCCGTCACCGCCCTCATCAAGCCCCTACACTCTCTCCTGTGTGTGTGTGTGTGATAGATCTATCGACACTGTAATGTGGTATGTATTTAAGCGGGCATTGATGTAGCTGGAGAGATCGCGAGCGACACCAACCTTGAAAGTCCCCTCTTCCAAATCCCCAAAAGAGAGATTTTTTCTCTTCTGGTCTCTTCTGGGCTGTGAGAGCTACCAAAACCTTGAGAGTGGGAGCTCGAAATTCTTCTTGTTCTCTCCGTCCGGCATTTGGGTCTCTGGTCTGATCGGTTCTCGCAAGAGGGTTCTTGCGGAAGTGATTGGAAATGCCTAGTTCCAATCGGGATCACCATGGGCGGTAGGAAAACCAGCGACAATTCCGATGTGGACGATGTTCTTCAGCTGCTCCAGAGAGAAGCTCCACTCAGCAAAGAACAGGTATGTTTCCATTTGGTTGTGTATTTCTTCTAGTTTATGTGCGAGTTGAGTGACTTTTGGTGGCAATGCAGGCCGAGTATTGCAACGAGGCGTGCATCGCCAGATACTTGAGAGCTCGTTCCGGGAGTGTCAAAAAGGCTGCCAAGCAACTCCGAGCTTCCTTAAGTTGGCGTGAGAGCTTGGAAATCGGTATGATTTATATCAATCTCTAGCTGCATTCCATTCAGTCGCCATCTCTTTGTGCGAAATCAGTGAGCTTTTAAGTTTCTTGCAAAGTTTAAAGTTCTCTTTCCTTGTTTTTTCGTTTTTTTTTTCTTTTTCGTGCAGGGTACTTGACTGCCGATGATTTTCCAGCCGAGCTCGCCGCGGGGATCGCTTTTGTGTCTGGCCAAGACGACGACGGGAAGCCAGTTCTGGTATGTTTACCTCTAAATAAGATTTGCTTCCAAGCCGCAAAAGTGATGACTGGAAAAATCAATATGATCAGGTTCTCAGGACAAAACAGGAATTTCTTCCTCCTAGATCTCAGAAACGGTATGGTGCCAACAATCATTCTCTTACAAAAAAAGGTTTTTCTTACAAACTGACAGTGAATTCTTTTTCTGGAGGTTTATCCGTTTTTTAGTCTTTTCTTTTGAAGTGGCAGTCTCCTCCATGCCTCCCGGCGTTGATCAATTCGTCATGTTGATTGACTTCTCAGGTACTCCGAAGAATAAACTAAAACTCTAAACAATTCCTCGATCCAATTCTTTTACTCACAGGCTCGTCAAGGGGAAGCTCGTCACTCCTCAGCTTCATACTCAGCATCATGAAGCTCCTCTCAGATCACTATCCGGAAAGACTAGCTCCATCGTTCTTCGTCGATGCACCTTCGATGTTCTACTACCTCTGGAAGGTGAGAAAAAGGAAGAAAACAACGTTTTTTTCCTTCGTTTTCCCCTCTTGATCACAGATGGATGGATCGTAACTGCGTGTGTGTTGCATTTCCTGGCAGGGAATGGCCCCGTTCATCGATCACGCAACGAAAGAGAAGTGGAGCTTCTCGTTCTCCAGGGATCACGACATGCAAATCTCAGCACCGTCGTGCGAGCCAGCAGAGCGTGCGCAGCCGCCACCCTCGTCGCTGCTCGCCGATTCCTCGTGCAGCTGCAGCAGCACCCCATCCTCCTTCCGCGCCACCTTGTGCTACGAGGAGCGCCTCAACGCCATGAGCTTCCTCACGCCGCTCAGCTCGCCCGGCGGCCAGAGCTTCTTCAAAAACAACAGCCTCGGCGCCGCGCTCGCCTCGGACGCGCAGCACAGGTCCCTCTCCTTCTCCTCGCCCGCCGCCACCGCCACCATCGCCACCGCCGCCAGCTTCAACTTCCGCACGCCCGACTCCAGCTGCAGCGACGGCGGCGGCGTCGGGGGCTACGGCTCGCCAGTGTTTGCGCGCAGCAGCCGCTCGCGCGGGAGGAGCTCCTCCCGCGAGATGGGAAGTGTAGCGTCATCGTCGGCGCTGTCATACCTGGTGAAGCACAAGAGGAGCTCCAGCTCCAGCTCCAGCGCGGTGGAGTCGTTCCGGCCTTACGTCCGGCACGCCAAGGCCGGATACAGCGAGAGCGCCTACAGGGCCACCTTGAAGCCGCCGCTGGGGGGGCTACTCTGTGTCATCAAAAGCGCCCTCAACCTCGGGCAGACGGATGACTATCCCGCCACCCCGAGCTGAGAAAGCTCGTCATTGTTTTCTTCCCCACTAACTCACTCATAACGGAATATACCGAGGCTGGCAGAATATGCTTACGTTGTGTGTGACAGAATGTTCTCTTAGGGTTCGGCTAGCAGAATATGCTTCCTGGAGGAAAATGTAGATAGACGGAATATACTTCTAGGGCTAGGGTTTTGGAGCGTGATGGCAGGGGTGCAGGTCGGGCGCGTCCGCGCGGATCCATCCAAGAAGGGCAAGGGGAAGAGGCTGCTGCCGCCGCCGCCAGGGGCCGGCGGGGGCGGCAGCGCGTCGGCGGAGGCGTCGGATGCGGCGCGCAAGGTGCTCAAGGAGTGGCCGACGTGGGCGATGAAGAAGCTCAAGACGGCGGTGCACTACGGCTTCATCCCGCTCATCATCGTCATCGGGATGAATGTGGAGCCCAAGCCGCATTGGACGCAGCTCTTCAGCCCAGTTTGAGCGAGTTTGGGCTGGTAACAAGAGAAAATGCTCCTTTTTCTTTTCTTGCTCCTCTCCTTGGTTTCAGTCGCTGGCTAGATGGATCACAGCCTAGAGTTTGGTAGCAAATCAACTTATAGTCACTAGTGAGGGAGAGATCTCTTGCCTCTGCCTATATGGATGGATGGTTTTCACATCGATTTGCGTTTCTTATTTGCATGTGAAGAATAAGAATGAACTAAACACTATGGTTTTTTTCTGTGTTATTGGCCGGAGAGGTTGGTCTTGTTCTTGATCATGTTGGTGACACCAGCCTTGTGATGATCCTGATAATTACACGATGAAGAGAAAGGAAAAAAAAATCCCGACTAGAAGAGGAGCGAAAGCAAAGACGAAGAGAAACTAAGAAGAGGGAGGAGTAAAAACACCCAGAATGCGGGCAGCAAGCAAGCAAAAAAGAAATCGTGAGGTCTTTTTTTTTACAAATCGAGGGTGTTGTGTTCTCTCCGCCAAATGAATGCTTGCTTGCCTGCTTTGCTCGCTTGAATTGAGACTTTCTGCGTTGTCTTGATGTAGCCTAGCACCACCACCAGAGAATTGGAAAAAAAAAATGATGTGGAGCTCTGGAGCTTTCAAACGCCACCACACTGCTTCACAGCTTGCTCCAGCCCCTGTTGGCTGGGACCGAGAAGCTCCTTCACGTTGACACCGTTTCTGAAAATCTTAAAGGTTGGCACCGAGCTTATGCTTTCCAACTGTGCCAAGTACGGGCTATCATCGACATCAACCTGGACGAAAAGAAACAAAATCGATTCACACCTATCCAAACAACAGCTCAATCGCAGCCAGCTTACCTTCGAGAAATTCACAGACGGATATCGTCTGCACAGCTCCTCGACAAAGGTGGAAAACTGGCGACATCTATCGCTCCACCGCGTCGTAAACTCCACCACGGACAAGCCTAGGAAAGAGAACAGAGAAAAGAGTGAACGCTTGCAAAACTGCCAGAAGAAAGCGCACAACGACTTACCGGGACAGGAGATTGCTTCCCTGAATTGGTCGTTTCTAAACACTTCTTCTACACCTCCCCCAAAATGTGTTCTCGATATTTCTTCACCGCGTGATTTCTTGAGTGCCACTTGCACGTCGAAAAGAGCCTGCGCAACCTCCACATCTCCGGGATGCTCACGTCTTATTGCCTCGTAATCTCTTGCCGCGTCCTCCCACCGCTCAAGCTGGGAGAAGTAAAACCTTTGCTGTCAAAATCCCAAAGAAAAAAGCAGGCACGTACCTTGGCATACGAATGAGCCCGTCTCAGAAGCGCCTTCATGTACTTGGGCTGGACTTGCAAAGCTGCATTGCAATCCTCTAAAGTTTTCTCCCACTGTCCGAGCTTGGACCGACTAGCAGCACGGTTGCAGAGAAGGATTGCGTTCGCAGGATCAAGCTCCAGGCCTTCGGTATAAGCGGCACACGCTTCGAAGAACTTCGCAGCTTTGAAAAAATCATTGCCCGCCGCCCGGGCTTTCGACACTGTACGTGCTTTCCTCAGTAAAGAGGAAACTTCGAAGTTTTGGGGATCGAGACGGGCAGCCCGCTCTGTAATAGCTACGGCTTCTTCGAATCTGTAGAAAAAAAGCCTGGCAAGTTAGTAAGCGGTACTATGGACTTTAATGTTGAGGAATAAAACCGGTATATCAACGCACCTGCCTTGGGCCATGTCAGCCTGCGCTAGCAACACAACAAGATTGTTGCTGAATTCTACTTTTGTAGACCTGGGAGACGCGTCTTCTACTCGTCGAGCGGCAGCCAGTGCTGCGTCTGCTTCGTCTAACCTTTGCAGCTTCAGCAGGGATTCCGCTTTTAAAACGTACACCTACATAACTCGAGAGGTCAACGAATCTCAATTCTGGAAAGTTCCATCTTACCTGCAAGGAATAATCGGCCCCGGCAACAATTGCAGCATCACATTCTCGAAGAACAGCGTTCCAGTCTTTCAACTTCTTTGCTTCGAAACAGTTCGTCAGCCTCCTTTCTATCAAAGTGATCCTTTGACTATCTCCTGTTTCATTCTGCTGACCGGATCCTTTGAGATGCTTTCTAGCTTGTTCTGTTTGTCCAAGTCTATTCCATCACACGCAGTAGAATGAATAAAACTGTGACAAGATTGCAAAAAACGACAGCGTACCTTAAGAGTAGAGAAACAAGTCGCTGGTGCGCCCGACTAAAAGAGGAGTCCAGTTTCAGTGCCATCTCTGATTCTTGCACCGCTTCCCCAACACGATTGAGCCCAGCCAATGCGGCGGCTCGGTTGCATCTGTAGGCAGCCTGGTCGGGACACAAGGAAATGGCCCGGTCATATAGAGAGAGTGCCTTTGCAAAGTTTCCCTTCTTGTACTCGGCATTTCCCGAATTCTTGACATCTTCAGCTGAAACGTTGCTCTTGCTCTCGCCACCCGGAACAATGTTCCGTATACCTTGACTTTCTCCTGCCCTGCCTCCGTCAACATAAGAAACTTTCTTGTAAGCAGAAGTGTTCGTTGTCCCTGTGAGTTTGATCCCAGTTCTGAGCTCTGCCGGGGACGCTGCCCCGACCAAAAATCTACTCGACGTAGGTGCCGGATTCGCGTTCAACCTGGTTCCATTGGATTCTCCTCCATTTTGCGTCTTGAGGATGCCACCCGGCTTCTCCTTCTTTATGGATCCATTGTCCATGGCAGTAGTACTACCCCCACCATTAGCTACAGCATTAAAGGTTGAGAAGCTCCCACCAGTCACCATTCCAGTATTTAGAACCGGGCCACCTTTGCCACCCCAAAGGCTCTCGGCTGTAGGACTTCCACCATCGGAACTCCCTGCGCTTGAGTTGCTTCCATGAGCACCACCCTCTCCATTTTTCCTGCCCCTATTAAATATCTCCGGTGTTGGACTTCCACCGCTGGAGCTACCACCACTGGAATTCCCATGATAGATTTCTCCACTTTTCCTGTTGGCCGTCCCTCGATGACCCTCCACAGTCGGACTCTCTCCACTGGAGCTACCGCTGGAGTTACTTCCACGAGGGACCTCTCCAACTCTCCTCTGAGATCGAAAGCCATCTGCGATCTCCCCAGAACTGGATAGACTCGCGCGAGGTATCTCGCCACTAAAGCTCGCACCACTGGAGATGCTTACTCGAGAGAGCTCGCCACTCTTCCTCGCAGGCCTCGACATGTCGAACATCGGACTGTCGCCGGAACTGGAGCTACTCCCGCGGGGAAGCTCCCCACTTCTCTTTTGCAGTGGCAAGCCTTCCACAACATTGCCAGTCGGAAAAGCTCCCCGTGATTTAAACGCATCCAAGCTTTCTGTGTCATGCTTAAAGGTGAAGCTATCCGAGGCGAGATTCAGCACCGCGGAGTCCTCCGACTTTGCTGCGTCCAAACTTCCATGCTTGGCAACTCCGCTTCTCCCCGGATTGTTACCAGCATTATTGCTGCTGGACAGCCTGGGTGCTCCAAAGAAGAAGTTTGTCGACGCTAGCCTGGACGACGAATCTGGCACGGCCTCCCCGGAAAACGTGGCCCTCGTCGCTCCATTCGCCTGGGGCTTCAACTTGGCGAATGGATCCAGCGCCTCGGACGATCCTCCCAGCTTCTTGCCATCCGCCTGTGCGTGAGACATACTCGTACAGACAGTAGTTTGCGAGCTCGAGTGCTTGGGGACCACATAAATCTGTGACGAGCAACGCCCACCGGATCAAACTAGTGCCGAATCCTTCTGATCTACTACACCCACTACCGCTTCCGCCGCATCACCCCCCCGAGCCCCGACTTGTAAATTCCGCCACCAATTTGCCGAAAGGAGCCGGGAAGAGCCTGGCTCACATCTTACGTACTGCTGCTAAAAGCCTTTCCATGGCCTCCAGGCCCCAACTTGTCCAATTTTCAATCCCATTGCCCCCAAATGTGGCCGTGACAGAGAAACCGATGATGGCACGTCTCATCCGAAAGAGCCGAGCGAGCGCCCCCCCGATTTGGACAGCCAACGGGAACAGCCAAACCAGCGAATGGAACTTCTAAACCACCCTCTCAAGAAGAACAAAAGAGAGAAAGAGAGAGAGAGCAGTGAAAATGTGGGATGGGATGGAAATACCTAGTACCACCACTACTACTACCGTGGTGAAAGAAGGGAAATCTATGCCAGTACCGCTAAACCAATCTCCATCAATCCACTGCTTGCCTACCTTGTTTGAGCTCAAGAACAGCGCCGTGCGGGACCCTGTGTGCCAGCTCCTCTCTGGATCGGGGCCTACTGCCCTCCAGATCGGGTCCAGGCAATGTACCTATCTGGAAATCCGTCCGCGGCGCGGCCGATTTGACTTGGAAATCCCGAGCTCGCAGCTATGGCGGCAGCATTGGCGGCCGCGCCGGCGGCGAGATCGATCGGAGACGCCGCCATGGCCGCGGGGCGCCACCCCCAGCCCTTGCCCACGCAATGCTCATCGCTGGCAATCCCTAAGCCCTCACAAAATAACCAGCGCTCGGGCTTGCTTTGCGCCTTCGTTTGCTCACACCCACACCATACCATCGCCTGGCGGAATATGCCGCGCGGCGAATATTCCGCCCGACCAACAGCTGTGGGCGGACGGGCCGGAACACGTGGCGGGCCCTTGCGGCTGACACGTCGGATGCCGCAGTGCCGCGAATTGTGGCAGCGGAGCAAATGATCTCGCCGCGGCGGCAGGCCCACCGCGCACGGTGCGGTAGAAAGGTGAAAGAACAGAGAAACTACTGGAGGTATATTTTCTTTTTTCACTTTGGAGTTTGACCAGGGGTTGATGAGTTGTGGAGGAAAATTTGGGCACACATTCTTCGCCCGCGTTGGTTGGCAACGCGTGAGCCCCAAGTCTTTCTTGGCACCTTTAAAATACTAGCGGTTAGCTCACCCCTTTAAAAAGAAAACTAACCCCCTACGTGGCAGCTGACTTGCCACGCACGTCATCACACGACCTTTGATTGATTCCTCCTTCCTCTTCATCTCCAGCTCGGAGTTCTATCCATCACGGTTGTGAATCGCTCGATGAAAGAACGTGAGATTGACGATGTATTGATCGATCATACATGGATGATTGATTCTGGAATCAAATCAAATCAATCTCACCAGAAACATTTGGCGGGTTTCACCCATAATTCTCTCGAATCGCGAGTGGATGGAATGTTTGCCCCGGAGAGAGCGCGCGCTGTTCATCGACGCGACTGCCATCCAAACTCCATCGTCCGCTTCCTTGTGATGTCACTCTCTCCTACAATCAATCAATCCATCCAACTCGCCGGCCAAGTGGACTTTCACGATTCTTGGAGCGTTTCACGAAGCTCTCCAGAGGTTTTACTTTGGTACCTTGCTCCTTGGCTGACAGAGAACGAAAGGGATGATCCATACTGCCTTGATTGTTTTGCTCTCCAGCAAATTTTGGTGTCCTCGCACGGGCGAGCGATCGTAAGCTCTCATTATAACAGCTGCGTAGCAACGGCAGCCATAACGAGCGAGCTTACGTTCTTGGTGTCACACTTTGCTTGAGGACATTGTAGACGTCGACGCGAAACTTAGTCTTGAATGTAAAGTCAAAATGCCACTGTGATTGGAAACGCAAGCGATCGTTTCCATGGTCTCCAATATATACAACCAAAGGAAGAAAGAGCAAAAAAATACCTCGTTCCTTGATCCTAAGAAAGAACTTGCTGTTCTGCCAAACGTTGTCTTTCGCGTTGATTTAAACCGAGCTAGCCAACAAGGTTGTCCCGTCCTCTCGTCTGATCTCCACGGAGGAACTGCTGCCGCAGCTCGATTGCACCGCTGTTTGGTTTGTCGATAGCAGTGATGGCGATGAAGTGGAGGAGGAAGCGTTTGCTGTTCCAGAGCGAGACTTCCCGGCGCTTGGAGTTTTTTTCTTTGAAGCTGGTGCGAGAGAGGGATATGCCGAATGATGACGCTGCTGCTGGCACAAGCGGACGTGATGGTGTTCATGATGGGTGTCCACGCTCGTTTTTCTCTCAAGTCGTCCCAATCTTGGAGAGATTGCTCGTGTTGCCGGTACCTTCGAATCAAAACAGCATTATACAGAAACCTGAAAACTTATCAGAAAATATTACCTTCTTACTTGGCTTTGACTCAGCAGGCTGTTCATGATAGAAATCTGGCATTGGCTTGGCCTTGAAAGTCAGGCTTCGTCTCAGCTTACGAAGGTCAGCTTCTTTCTCCTCCTGAAACAAATATCGGAACGGATGATCTGAAAAGTATTCTACAAAACCTGTGATTTAGCCTTGATCTGGTTCTTCTCTTGTTCCTTGGCAGCCAGCCTTTCCGCCAGCTTTGCATAGAACTGCATGACATGAACACGATCAAAATTCTGACTGAGCAGTGTGTTCACACCTCTTTTCTCTTTTGCGCTCGCTCTCCTGACTTCAGCTGGAACTCTTGACTTCGACGGTGACCGGCATTTGGAGAAGACTTTTTCGAGTCCTTTTTCTCTTCGAGGCTTTTCTCCGCCAATCTGCCACCGTTTACCGAGACATTAGCCGCGAAAAAAAGCAGATAATACGATAGAGAAGCTGCGCATACCGATATTCTTTCGCATCTTGTTTTGTTGAACCTGTTGTCCCGACCTGCATAAATGTGACTTATGTCCTCAGACTCAAATGCAATGACAACTTACCTGTGCCTTCGTTGACGTCGGGATCTGTCTCTCAAGCCTCGGTCTGGAATCAGTGCCTTCACTCGTCTTCTTCTTATCAGCTGGCAGAGCGAGCGACTGAAAACCAGTCGATTTTCGGACAGCATTCACACGCCGAGAAGGATTTTTCAGATCAGCCACCACGTCCGAGGGAATCGAGCCTCGGCGCTTATTTGCACACGCTCGTTGTGTCAGGTGGCCACAAACTCGTATAGGATGTACCATTTCTTTATGCATTTTATTTCCCTTGCGCATGGAAGGCTTGGCATTATTTTTTGTCTGCTGCACGGCAGGAGCTTCCTGTAAAAGACCAGTGGGAAAAATCATTATATAATACGAGCAACATACAAAAGCATACCTGGCTTTGTCTGCCATCATCGTCCGGGTCCTTGTTTTCTTTGAGAGCCGAGCCAACACCACTCGAGATGGTTGTAGTGCTGCCAACTTTGTCAATATTTTCTCCGTCCACTAAACTCGTTCCATCCAGTTTAATTTCCTCCAAGACCGTATCAGAGTGCTCTTCGCAAGAACTGTCCTTGGATTCCTCGCACCCGGAAGAAAAATCCAGCGTCCGGACAGTGGCATCGCTCTGATCGATCACATCGTCGTCGCCAATCTTGCAAGCGCTGCTGGCTCTTCTACTTCTTCTGCTAGAAACCGAGCATCTCTCGCTGGAAGCCGACTGAATAGCCTCCTCGAAGAAAGCAGCCTTTTTTGAAACTAGTCCCGGGCTGGAAGCACCATCCAGCTCCTCGATATAGCGACTAGGCAAAAAAACACAGCTCCTTTGCCTTGGTCCTACCATCGTGGACCCATCCATGGATAGTCTCTCCTAGAAAACATCCAAAGATCATACATACCTCACTACGCAGAAAAAGAGATAGTCCTAGATAACATCCAAAGAAAATGTTATATCATACCTCACAACGCGGAAAGAGAAAGAGAGAGAGAGAGAAAAAATGCTTCCAGAAGAACTCGTAGATCCGCCACGAATTCCTCCTGGAAAGAACAATCAAATCGATTTAGAGATCGAAAATCCCACCATTGCTGATAATTTCTACTCAAGCTGCAAACTAGACCGGATCGGATGGATCCTTGCTAGAACCCTTTCGAGATCATTGATCGCCCGGCGATCGTCATTCAATCAATCGATCGAGCATCACACTAGTTACTGTATCAGACAGCAAAAGAATCCACAGCACCGACCTGAGAATTCCACGAGCTCGCCCGATCGATCGCGGGCAAAGAAGCACGAAATCCGCCAAAATAAATCGCCCGGGCGCCCAATTCCCGCCGCCTCGGCTCCCTCGAGCTAAACGAGCTTCAAACTCACCTAAATTTCCAAAGTCAGTAGACGGAGCCGTTAGTAAGCGGCGGGATTTTCGCGTGCCGCGCTGTCCGGACCGTCGTATTTTCAAAAAGATAAAAGGTTTAAAGGGTTAAACATAAAGAAAGGGTTAAAAGGGTTTTTTATTAGGCTTGGCTCAAGGTTTTAAGATGCCTCTTAGATTTTAGCTTTGGAGAGGGCCGCGCGTACACGAGCCCTCAACTTCCACAAATTACAACGTCCACTCCTCCACTTTGGGAAGATGGTAGGCCGGCCAAGCCTAAGTGCAATAGGAAGGCCGAACCTAGGCCATTGGCCTTCATGATCACCATGGTTCCCGACCTCGAACCCTGCTTTATATACTTCTTCTGAGTGTGGATCAGTAGTAGCCACCATGCATTTCACAGGATTGTGACGGCTGTTCTGGAAGAAATACCTCAAAATCATGTGGACCTAGAACAGAAGGAATTGGTGAGCATGTTGAAGGATCTATGGAAATCAGTTTGCCAGCACCTGGGGCGAAGTACAGTTTTCTTGACTTGCCTGACAAGCTGGGTGTGTGGTGATATCCCTCAATCAAGATTCTCTTACGGAGTTGTTATGGCCATTTTCGACGAGATTTATTGGCACAACACCGAAGGATTGAAGTTGATATTGGAACGCGGTTTCAATGGTGGGATAGTTTTGTTAGGCAATCCAAGGATCGGGAAAACAAGTTTTTTGTGGTATGCTCCAAAAGGAAGAAAAATTTATCCTCAAAGGGCCCCAACTTAAACATTACTACTCGTTCACCTAAAAAGGCAAGAAGATCGTGATAAAAATTGCAGAATCTAGTGAGAAAGCTGTGGAAATAACAAGCCCTCAGTCCTGGTATCTTGTGGACACAACAGTTACTGAGACGGATTGGGTGCTGCCGTGCAAGTTCTTGTTGACGTGCTCCCCACTGAAGTCCAACTACAGCGAATTTGCTAAGTCTGGTACTGTGGAGATGATGTATGACCCAGTGTGGTCCCTCCTGAACGAGCACAACTTTGGGCATCTGGAGGACGTAACGGCTCGCTTCCGCAAGTCGGGTGGCATACCTCGGTATGTGCTCGAGAAGCTAGACGAGGCGTCTCAATTGGAGATGGTGAAGGCTGCAAGGGTGGTTCGAAACGTGAACGAAAGCCTTCCTGAGAATCAAAGCTACAAGGCCTTCCATATGTCGGTGGATGAGAGAACATATAGGAGCTACGGCCTGGATCTTGCTAGCCCTTACGTTAAGGAGATAATCTTTTCCAACTTACCCACTGCATCAGTTCATTTATCATGAGTAGCCAGAGTCTATCGGAGAGATTCAAGGCAAGTTGTTTGAAGCCTGTCTGACCAGGAGACAGAGGCAGGATATCGTACAGGCAGCTAGATGAAACCGGAGAATTCGGACCGGTGCAAGGGAAGCTGCTCCCAGAGATGCCCAAGAGAATTGATCTCCTTGGTAATGGTGGAGCGGAGGCTGTATTCCCGGAGAAAATCCGAGAAGGCAAAGTGAACAATTGTGGGAGTTGAACCCTCAGATTCGGACAATCACCACTAAGCAATTTCAAATATTATCACAAAGTACAAGAAATAAAAACTTTTGCTTGATTGTCCACTCTGATCCAACTTTATTTTCTTTCTCTCGATTTTTTTTCTCATAATTTTCTTTCACGGGTCGGATTAGTTGACTAGGATGAATCTTAAGCCTTTAAACCTTTTACTTTTTTGAATATACGACGACTTTTTTGGCGGATCTCATGCTTCTTTGCCCGCGATTGATTGGGCGAGCTCGAGGAATTCTCAGGATGATGCTGGATTCTTTCCTAATACAATGCTCGTGTAGTGTTTGATTGATTGGATGACGATCACCGGGCGATCAATGATCTTGCGGCTTGAGTAGAAATTTTCAGCAATGGTGATGGCATTTCTCTTGCGGCATAGCGGAAAGACACCTCTTTTTCTGCGGATGGGTCCAGGAATTAGAGGATAATAAGACCTATATCATGAGAGAACACCTGCGTCCGCCGCATGACTCAACTGTAGATCTGGGATCTACAGTTGAGTTTTGCGGTGGACGCAGGTGTTCTCCTTACTTGGAACAAGAGGAGGACAGCTCAAGTTCCGAGAGCATGGGAGCGTTTCTGGCAGTTCTGTGAGCCACAGCTTCCCTGAGCTCTTGCAAGCGTGCAAAGCGATGCCATTGCTTGCAGACGCGCCCGGCTTTGAGGATAATATCTGGCTCAAAATGTCAAGGTCAGCGCCCAGAGAATCTGGACAAGGAGGCAACTACTCTAGCTGTTGGAAATCCACTCACGAATGTGTGGAGAATTCTTCCCAGGATTGATATCAAGGCTCAGGAGACATCCGAATTAAAAGGTCAGGGCACTACAATGTAACTACTCCCATCGTTTTGGGGATTGTGTAACACATGACAGGTTCGTGTTGCGGGTGGACAAAAGCTCATTGAGATGGAGGTTCTACTTGACAAAGTACCAACACATCCTGCTCTACCAGGATCAACACTTCTCACCTGAGAAAACTTTGGCCTGACACTCCCTGAGGAAAGGGAGTAAGCAATGTTACCATCTACTTTGGCCATACCTTGATACAGAGGACCCATACTTTTATTTGAAGTGTCCCATAAAGGACCTTCGATGAGTTTCTATCAAGAAATTCTCGCAAAGAACCTATGCTGTCTGTCTGTAACTAACTCACACCAATCTGGGTCCACAAGCTTTGCATAATCCACTATATAATTCCTTTATTAAGTCTGAAGGAAGATGAACTTACAGGTATAGCAAGAACTTGGAGGAGCCTGCTCCTTTGTTATGTTATCAAGTAGTTTTCCTTTGACCTCATTCAGTGGGATTTGAATCCCCACCTTCAAAACATAGGGTTCATCTCATTCTCCGCTTCATTGGGAGGGTGCAGGAGTGAATGCAGCTTGCGAGACGAACATCTTTTGAAAGATCGTTAGGAAGTTGAAAAAGCAGGCTTAGTATAAAGAACCAGGCACGCTGTTTCAATTTAAAACTTGTTAGTTTTCTTGTAGAACAAACTTAAAATACTCATTCCGTCTTGTGTGTCAACGCTTGAATTTGCAACACTCAGAAAAATTAAAACGATGTTGGACCACTTTGCCTTGAATCACTTCTAGAAAACATCCCAAGAAAATGTTATTAACATACCTCATTACAAAGAACCATACCTCACTCAAGAGAGAAAAGAACTCTTCCTTCTCTGGACCAGACCGTTCACCATTGCTTATAATTGCTTTCTACTCAAGCCGCAAGCTCAGAGGGAGCCCTTTCAAGATCATTGATGGAAGAAGAGGATGACTATGATCACAGAGGGAGAAGGCGCAGGGCGCTGCAGAGCATCTGTGATCGCCTGGCCATGGCCGGCCATGGTCATCCAATATCATGGAGTATACCTTTATATCTAAAGCATCCAACCAAAATCTATCGAACACTACACTTGTACTGCGAAAGATCGACCTCTGAAAATTCCTCGAGTCGATCGCGGGCAAAGTAACTGACTGGAGGAGTATCTCTATTTTGTATAAAAGGAATCGGAATATTCTTTAATTCCTTAAAAAATAAAATAGATGAAATAGACGAGCTATGTTCTTTTGTTTCTATGCATCTTAGAGATTTTAGCTTTGGAGAGGGCCGCGCGTACGCGAGCCCTCAACTTCCACAAATTACGACGTCCACTCCTCCACTTTGGGAAGATGGTAGGCCGGCCAAGCCTAAGTGCAATGGGAAGGCCGAACCTAGGCCATTGGCCTTCATGATCACCAATAGACCCCGTCCAGGTAAGTATGGTTATCTGCCTCGAACCCTACTTTATATACTACTTCGGGGGCTTCATTCTGCGCCCCGGCATGTGGGATAAGTTAGCAGACCTATTTTCGGCAGGCGGTCAGCCCTAGTCAATCAATCCGCGGTTCGAACCCCGTCCAGCACACTCGCTGTACGGACCCGTGGGCGACACAGGATCACGGGAGTGGCTGCGTGTGTCGTACTGTCCGGAGGAATGCAACACGGGGTTCTTTTCAATGCAAAAGGCAAAGATTGAAAAAAAGAATTCGAGGGAAAGAGAAAAGTTGGAGCAAGAACTATTACTTAGAGTGGATGCCAGCAGCAAGCAAAGGAAAAAGTTTGGATTTGGATGATTTGAAATCGCTGCGTGGTTTTTGTGGTGATTGTCAGAGAAGCGCGCGCGATTCATGGATCAATATGGGGATTTGGAGGGAAGAACTCTTTAAACACTTCCCAGCCTCTAAACAAATCCATCGCTGCGAAAGGGATCGATGCATCGCCACCCTCGAGCTGGGCGATCCAACGGAGCACATGCGCGCGGCAATTAATTACGTGAAAGCTTCGTCTTCGTATTAGCTCCTCGGGGCCATCCACTTATAAAGCCATTTATTTTATCTCCACAGTTTCGGTGACTCCCACAAACGTTCTTCGGTTTCGATCGATCGTTCGTTTTCCCTTCGTGTTCTTCTTGGGGGCCTAGCCTCGAATCTTCTCCATCGATCAAGCAGCCAATCGCTCTTTGGCTATGGCCGCTTGGATCGTTCTCCTTGTAAGCACCTACATTCTTCTCTCTCGTCTCACGAGTGTCTCTAGCTCTTCGCAACACGCATTGTTCCAAAGTTTTGCGAGGAGCAACGCTAGCAGCAGCGGCCGCGTCGAATCCGGCAGGAGATTCTTGCTGGATTACATCAATCGTCCCTTCGTCAAGAGCTTCAATGTAGGTCGCCGCTAAAGTTCATGATCCTCTTTGCAGAATCCAATCCTTTTTCTTTTGTTTATTGTTCTTCGTGTTCTAGCTTTCGGATGGGAGCGTGGTGGATTGCGTGAGGATAGAAGACCAGCTTGGAATCCAGCATCCTCTCCTCAAGAACCACAAGATCCTGGTATGGAAATCTCTTTCTTTCTCATTCTTTTTTTTTTCTATCCAAACTTTTGAGAAAAGCGCTGCGCTTGTTTGCTCCTGGCAGAGAAAGCCGACGATCTTGCAGCCACAGTCGAGCGATCGCTCCGCCAGCAGCAGGAGCGGTCGATTCAAACGCAATGCCACTTCTTCGTCGCCATGGCAGCTCTTCCACCACGAACACAACTCCTGCCCCGACGCCACCGTGCCCGTCCGCCGCCTCCTTCCCAAGGACCTGGATCGAATGCAAACCCCCGAGGTGTTCCTCCACAAGTACCCCCAGTCGATCCAGTCGGGCACGCACCGCATTGCCGCGTCGCCCAACTCGCGATCCTCGCGAAAGAAGCGAAGAAGGCGAAGAACAAGGAGAGACCATCATCTCACTCCTCCATCGGTTGATGGGCACCAGGTATAAAAGCGGTTTTCTTTCTCGCGATCGATCGAGCGAGCGAGCAAGCGATTGATGGGTTCCTCTCTCTCGCAGTATGCGATCGTCCAGGCAGTGGGCAGCTTCTCAGGATCACAGGCCTACCTCAGCATCTGGGATCCGGCGGTGGCTACCTCGTCGGATTTTAGCCTCTCGCAGCTCTGGCTGGGCGGAGGATCTCACGAGAGCATCAACACGGTAGAAGCCGGATGGCAAGTAAGTGTGATCCGCGAAGCTCCAAGAAAAGCCCCGCTGATTTCTTCTCGATCGCAGGTCTACGAGCTCCTCAATGGCGACAGAAGCCCACACCTCTTCATCTTCTGGACGGTAAAGCTTTGTTTTGTTCTTCCAAAGTTCTTGGAAGAACAGAGTGTGTGCCTCCTTCCATCCATTGTTTCGAGAAATTGACCGCGCGCTTGTCCTCTGGCAGGCCGATTCCTACAAGAACTCGGGCTGCTACAACCTCCGCTGCCCCGGATTCATCCAAACCAGCCCCAACGTCCTCCTTGGCGGCGCAATCTCCTCCATCTCCAGCCCCGACTCCAGCCTCTTCTTCAAGAAATTCCTGATCTTCAAGGTGGGCGCTCCCAATCCCTCGCCAAAAATTGATTCCTCACGACCTTTCCATGTCTCGCGCAGGATCCAGTCGCGTGGTGGCTCCAGATCGACGACGAGTGGGTGGGCTACTGGCCGGCGTCGCTCTTCACGACGCTGGGGCAGAGCTCGCAGTGGATGCAATGGGGCGGCGAGGTGTGCCTCTCGGGAGCCTCCGATGGGCCGGAGCTCTCCACGCAAATGGGGAGTGGCTTCTTCCCCGCCGAGGGCAACACGCGCGCGGCGTCCCAGTGCGAGCTCGCCTACCTGGACGATCAAATGCGCCAGTTTGACGCCGTGGATCTCGCCGAGTTCTCCACCGATCCCGAGTGCTACACCGCCAGGAAGTACTTCGATCGAAACTGGGGCTCGTATATCATCTTTGGCGGCCGGGGATGCTCCAAGAGCTAGTCGCCACTGGCGATCTATTTTCTCTTCTTCTTCTTCTTCTTCGTCTAGATCGTCTTGGGTTTTTGAGAGATTTTTCTCTATCATCTCAGCAGCAGCCTCACTATTTCGTGATGGCGTAACTTTCGATCATCCATTCCTTGTTCTCGCGATATAGAGTCTTTGACACGGTCAACTTTCTTGTCTCCCTCGTTGGAACGAAAAATCAGTGAGACTGACTTCCATGGACTTCCATGGATTCCTGGTTGTGTTCTTCCTGACCGAGATCATCGAGCAAGCACCACGTCGTGATCATCCTTGAAAGGAGTTCTCGGCATTGAATGCGAGTCGCGATTGGAAGAATTTGAGCGGGACCGATAGAACAAGGATCAAGGGGGCATCTTTGCCAAACCAGCAGGGAAGAAGACAACAAAAGCACGCAGAGATCTGCCAAGCAAAACCGACGAACCAAGTTTTCTAGTTTATACATTTTTTTCTCCTTCGTCTTCGCTTTCCTTGCTTTTCTCCCGAGTCCCCTGTTTGTTCTTCGATTTGGGGCATTTGGCATTAAATGCGATCGACATGACCCCCCTGCCTGACCAGCCTCTGCCAGCGTCCAGTCCATTGCCCTAGCACTGCTCGATCGCCAGGGTCCAGATGGTCAGATCAGATCATATCCTTTTCTTCTTTTTAGCTGTTCGTAGTATTCTTCTTTTCTGGTTTCTTTAGCTTTCTTTGCTCTCTTTGCTCGCAGGATTGGCTTGGATGATTGAGAGCGTGTATGATTTGCTGGATGATCAGGTGGGGGCTTTCCACGTCGGCAATTAAAACCCACGAGCAACCATCACCGACGAACGAGGAAGTGAAAAACCTTGCTTCTTCTTTTCTTCGCCTTTTTTCCTTTGCTGGTGTTCCGCGAGAAGCGAGGAATCTGTGTCATGCGAGTTGTTTGTGATGGATGCATTGTGCATATCACAAGAGTCGCATCTGGCTCATCAATCCATCCTTGCTGCGACGAATTGAATCCAAAGCCGGGGAGCATTTGATGCACAGGAGCGATTGCCAATCAAAGCGCCCAACCTCCATTCTAGGTCGCAACTCAAACGTTTGACTCCCATTGACCTGCTTGAATTTCATTTACTCGGTGACGTGGCGCTTCGTTGACTTGAGCACGTAGATTATTATGGCTTCAAACTATACAAGCAACTCGTTTCGAATCTAGAAAACCAAGAAAAGAACAGCAAATTACGTCAGTGAGGGAGAAAAAAAATTAGAGAGGAAAGAAAACCGGTGAAGAAGGATCAGCCCTTGAGGCCGAGAAGGCAGAGGATAACCCCCACAAAGTCGGCCTCGAGCAGGCACCGGATGAAGGTCTTCTTGTGCGCGCTGTAGGGAGGATACCGGGCCATGATGTCCATCCAGAACGGCCTCGTCAGGATTGCCTTGTGGTGGCTGAAGGCGTCGAACGAGAACTTGCCGTGGTAGGATCCCATGCCGCTCTCTCCGACTCCACCGAATGGGAGTGTGGTTGTCAAGAACTGCAAGAACCAAAACGAGAGAGAGTGAGACTGGGAGTCCAATCAAACCAGAGGGTGGCTGTCAAGAACTGGAAGAATCAAAACGAGAGTGTCCAATCAAACCAGAGGGTGGTTGTCAAGAACTGGAAGAATCATAGAGAGTGGGAGTCTAATCAAACTCGTGAGAAACGAACGAGAATTTCCACCAGTGAATGGAGTCAACCAAGGAGCTTTGGAGAAATAAAGGCTTGACGGACGAGTGTGACGCGAAGTAGGAGTGGAAAACGGGAACTTAAGACATGACACTCGCGACGGGAATCAAACATAAAGAGGGGGTGAGGAGGTGACACTTACGTGCAAGCAGCAGTCGTTTACAACCATGCCTCCGGCCGACGTCTCTGCGATGACCTTCTCTTTCACTTTGTCCTTCTTGGTGAAGAGGTAGAGCGCCAGAGGCTTTGGCCGGCTGTTCACGATGTCAATAGCCTCGTCGATGGATCGCACCTGCAAAGAGAGACTTCAATCAGTACAATGCGATCACAGAGAGATCTCAACTATACCGAGATGATTGGAAGAATTGGGCCGAATATTTCCTCGCTCATCACCTTCGAGTCCAACGGGACGTCCTCGAGAAGAGTTGGAGCAATGTACCTGGAAGTTCAAAACGGACCGCCAGTGAAACTCTACGAAATTTAGAAAGGCACCCACAGCTTCGTCTCGTCTTTTTCACCACCGTGTGCAATTTTTGATGCGATGTTTGGATCGTCCAACAGGCCCACCAGGCGATTGAAATGGTTAATATTAACCACCCGCGAAATGTCCATCGACTCCCTAGGATTCTCTCCGTAAAAGCTCTTGAGCGTATCTTTCATGGCTTCTATCTGTTACAAAGACATGTCCGTTAGCTGTCAGGATGTAGTAGGTTGCTTACGAATTTAGTCGAGCAAGACGAGTCGACAAGCACATAGTCTGGGCTGACGCAGGCTTGACCATTGTTGTTTCCCCATTTTCCAACAGCGATCCTTCTGGTAGCGACCTGGAAGAGAAAGGTCAGCCAAAATCCACCAAGGCAAAACCGAAAAAGACTTGAAAACTTTACTTTGAGATCGCTTGAAGAATCAACAATAACTGGTGACTTTCCCCCGAGTTCCAAAGTGACTGGCGTCAGATTCTTTGCGGCCTCAGCCATGACAATTCGTCCGACTCTTGGACTGCCTGAAAGAAAGAAAAAAACAGCCAGCCAAGTCTCATCAATAAAGTACACTGAAAAACACTATACATTACCCGTGTAGAAAATCTTATCCCACTTTTGTTGGAGAAGAGCAGTGGTTTCCGGAACTCCACCCTCGACCACGCGAATCGCAGATTTATCCAAGTACAAAGGGAGCAGCCGTGCGATCAACGCCGATGTCGCTGGTGCCATCTCCGACGGCTTCAACACCACAGCATTACCCGCGGCAATAGCTCCAACCATCGGGTCCAGGGAAAGGACTGCATTAAAGAACCACAAGTAGAGAACCTCGTCACGAAAAAAGAACGAGCGCTACAACCGACAGACTTACGAAACGGGAAATTCCAGGCGGAGATTATCAGCACGACACCGAAAGGCTCGGGCTTCATGGAGGCCGACGCCGGGAGCGTCGCCAGCAGCGGTGGAACCTGGAAAAGAAGATTTCCAAGAAAATGAGCAGAGAGAATGGGGAATTTGGGCAAAGAAATCGCGGCTTACATTCACGGCGGCCGTCCAATTCTTGAGGTTTTTGATCGCGAGCTGGCACGCGCTCTTGACGGGAAAGATCTGCGAGCAAGAAAGATCCACTCGCAATCAGCGGCATTTCGATCCGGAAATCTTCCAAGAACCCTGGCGGACGCAAGAAAGATCCAAATCGAGAGGGGGAGAGGGGAGCAAGTACGCAATCACAGGCAAGGCGCCATAGCAGCGCCGCTCACCTCGCTGGCGAAGCACTCATACGACGGCTTCCCCATGTCGACGGCCACGGCCTCGGTGATGTCTTCCTCGTGCTTTTTGATCAAATCCACGATGCTCTTGAGCTGCGCGAGCCGCCAATCCAAGCTCCTAGTCCTACCAGACTTGAAATCGCCGCGGACCTCGCCACACACCGCCGCGATTACGGCGCTCTCCATCGATTCTTGGCGCCGATCATCCATTGCTCGCTCCCAGGAAGAAAACCGTGAAACACAACCAAGGCCTTGGCTTTTATAAATACGCCACGTGGGCGAACTGTGGTTGGGTCACGTCTACCGTGCGGCACACCGTGGCGTGCCACCGCGGCAGCCGCGGCGGCACAGCGTGCGGCATTTATAGCTAGATCTGTCCCAGCGAATGGTAGCACGGCCGTGGCAGTGTTCTAGGTGTGTGTCGTTGTCACGCGGGAAATTTTTTTTCACAGGCGAATCATCCATTCAGCCAAGAACACAAGCGAGAGGAAGAAGAAGAGGGAATTTTACAGGATTCTCAAGTACCTCGAGGATTTCGACTTCGAATGGCGACTTGCCAGTGTCTTGTGCGACGGCGCTGTAGATCTGCGCGTCGCACTCGTCGATCATCCGGGCGATCGCATGGAGCTGCTGGGATCGCCAGGCAGAGCTCCTCGTCCGCCCCGATCGAAAGCCCTCGCGGAGGCGCGGATTGATGTCCAATGTGGTATTCTCCTCGTCCTCCATAGCTGCCAAGAAGAACACGCTAGACACGAAGAACCTCCTCCTTTATCCTTTCTTCCACCGCGCGCTCATCCCGCGCACTCACACAATACGCCAAATCCTTTCATTTAAATTGCCGCGAGTTCACTGAATTGTTTGTTGAGCGCTCAGAGAATCTACCAGAATTTTCAAATCTCTCTGTTTTGCCCTAACTTATGATCTTGCCCTAAAAGGTTTTGCCCAATGGCATTGTTGGCGCTTTCCTCTTCTTGCGTCTTGGCGCGCGCTTCCTTGCGAGCGCCTAGGGCAAGAGCGATCGATGTAGAGTCTGTTCTTGCGATCGATGTGGGAACGGGAGGGACCAAGGCGTGCATTGTCTCGTCGGATGGGGATATTCTCGCCTCCGGCTTCGCGGCGCATCCAGCTCCCGCTCAATCGGCTATGTGAGTGATAATCTGCGATATTTCGGCTGTAGAAGTGATCGATCGGGGTCAGGGGAGGTTCTTGCAGCATGGAACAAGATCCGGAGCTCTGGTGGCTCGCCACGATTCAGGCCGTCCAGTCCTGCGTGAAAAAATCTCGGGATGACGGTGCCGATTCTAGCTGCGTTCGCGGAATCTCTGTCACCGGGCAAATGCAGGACATTGTGATCCTTCCAAAGGTAACAGTATGGATCGAAGTTCTCTATAAATTTCTTCTCTAAGTTCTTCGCTCAGGCTGGTTGTGCTAATAAGCAAAGAGCGATACTTTACTCCGACACTAGGGCCGCTAAAGAAGTGATCGAGGTTTGTGGTTTTTA